CCCCAAAACCCCAAAACCCCAAAACCCCGCTAAGTGCTTCATTAATTGAATCTGCCAATTTTTTGACCAAAATCATAAATAAGATGGTGCCGACTTGTTCCGACCTCAAGTGGACATGGAAGAGAAGGAAGACACTCATAGACTATGAACTCCAGCAGCAGGCCCACCAGCTGGAGAAACAGAACTTGGACTTTCTCGACTTTATTTGCTACAATAGATTTTGAATACAGATTAGACCAGAGCTTATTTGTTTATTTTTGGATGATGAACAGCAAAAACAGATCTTGAAGAAGATAGTCAAGCTGGGTCCTCAACTTCCTAAGTTTATTTATTTTCACTTACAGCAAATTAAGAAGAGGGGAACACGCATTCAGTATAAGAACTACTGCATCAAGATGTTGAACCAGATAAGAGGAAGCAACTTGAAATCGATTAGAATTGGAGGAGACAGTACAGTTTTAGATTTAGCAAACTTTAGCTTTTATGCCAGGAGTGTGCTCAGACTCGCTTCAATGATGACAATTTTGGTTCAAATAAAAGCCTTCAAAATATCACACAAACATTTTGGAAGGATCCTCATGTCATGAAACAACACCCAGCAATTGTGATTCAGACACTGACAAGTGAATGTTGATAATTTGGATTATCTTGATCATGTAGGGGATACAAAAGATACCCGCTCTTTGATCAAGCATCTCTGTTTAGAATACAACACATTTATTCAACCTGAAGAAGACAGTGAAAACTTAGATGGACTGGTTCAGAAGATGGCTAAGTCCAGGCTTAACACTGGTTTACACACTGTAACAATCCGCCTTATTTGAAGAGTTAAAAACGCCTCTCCAAGGAAAGAGTACAAACTTGGGAACTTTAATGTAACTGTAAACTGATTTTCCTTGGTATCTTAATACTTTTGTTTGACTGATTTGACCATAACTCACTTGTTTCAACTCACACTTACTTCCCAGGGGTTTTGGGGTTTTGGGGTTTTGGGGTTTTGGGG